GATTTGAAGCTTTTGTGACTGCAGGATTCATATTCTTGGTTCTTTCGGTAAAGTCACGTAGAAGAGAAATAATAAAATAATAAAAATAAATAAAAATTTATCACGACGTTTCGATTGCAACACAACCAATTATCATCAGGTGTGATGATCAGGTGTGATGATGATTGCTTGTGTTGCAATCGAAACGTGGTGAGAATTGTATTGTTTCATTTTTATTACTTTATTATTTCCCTTCTACGTCACTTTACCGAAAGAACCAAGAATACCAGGCAGCTCTTTCTTGCGTGTTGTGTTCAAGATCTCGAATATAGATGGTGGTTCCACTCAGCTGTGTACAGCTTATTTTCTGGGCGCTCATGACGTTGTTGGAATGAGGGTCATGGAAGTGGCTTGTTAATTGAGCCACAATGCACAGCTCTATGTCATTGATTCCGCAAGTGTCTGCCCCATTGATTTGCTCGTTAGGAAATCCGAGCCACGCGGTGGTTGGGTTTGGTGTGGAGTGATCACAAGTGCATATCTGTGTGCGCGTATGTGTGTAGTGGCTAGCGGTGGTGAAGAGGTTAGAGCATCGCTCTACGAACCCGATGCCTCAAGTTCGATTCCAGGCCACAGCTAACGTTAGTGGTGCTTGTCTGAACTGGTTCTGGACCTCTTCCAAGTTGGCTCATCCTTAAATGAGTACCTGCTTGCATTGTACAAACATCAACACTGGGGAGGTAATAGCAGCCAGACCTGGTTCTGGCCACACCAACCCCTTGCCGTGCCAGTCTTTGTAGGGGTTTGCTAACAGCACTTTCCCCAACATGCTGCGTAGGCTACATGGGAAATCACTGTTGTGGGGAGTGGTGTGGCACAGTGGTTCAGTGCATCGGTAAAAACAAACGACAAAGAACAACAATAATTTGTCTGTTCAAGGAAGCCCCGCATATGGGTCTACCTCACTGTTTACGGCCTTGTCACATTTATATGTCCGCAGCCATGCTAGTTAATTTTACAGCATTACACAAAACATCAACTGTTTGCTAAAAGTTCCTCATCTGACTGATTGCAAAGAGGGCACTGGCGCTGGTGCGCATGAGATTTTGTTCTATTTTAACGTGTACTTGTGAACGTGCAGTTGTAATTACAAGCTCTCCATACGTGTGGGCTGTGTGGTCTCTTTCAATCGGCGTTTGTCCCCCCGTCTCCGTTATAGATTTGTGCGCCAGTGCAGGTCGATTCACGCACCGTGCCGCTCGATACAATGAAAAGCTCAAATGTGGACCGTCACTGCAAAACACAATTCCTTGAACATCCCCAACAGACAGCTCTCCCCCCTGGCTACCCGGTCATTCAACTCGTACAGCATCTGCTCACTGGCTAATTTGACAAATGTGATGCATGTTTTCATTGTATTTATTTCACATGCCAATGACAGTTAATCACAGTGGCTAGATGGCGCCACAGTAGCGAGATGTTAACTACCTCGCCTGGTACACAGGGGGTCGTGGGTTCGATCCCGACCCTCACGCCTGCTGCTGTATATTTGGAGTCTGCGGTGTCTCTCTCCCCGTGGTCGCGTGGATTTTTTTCCAGGTCCTCCGTTTTTTCCCTCCACATTTAGAATCAACATCACGGCATTTAGAGTATTCGGCTGCTGTACATTTCGATGTGATAAGCCACTTTACTGAGCTATCATTTGTGGCCAGGTCGCTTCCGAAAAAGAGCTACATAGCTCAGCGGACCTTACCTGGTAAAACAAAGATAGTAAATAAAAAGTAACCCAGACCGAGAAGCCTCGTAAAATATGATCATTTTTGCCAAGTAATGTGCCTAAATGTGAACCCAGGATCTTGGTGCTGCAAGCTCAGCGCTGACCTGAGTCACCCAGCGACCTCCAACCTTAATTTACTTTCAAGTAAATGTATTTAATATGCAGTGAATGATAAAAAAAAATACTCGTAATATTGTTTTGCATTCGTACGAGTGGAGTCATTTCCCCCACTTGTAGCTGGAACCTCAGCGAGCGAGTGATAATTCCAGAGTCGTCTCTCACGTGGCGATGTGCGTGTGTGTGCGTCGCGGGGCAGGGTGACACGAGGGGAGCGTGACGTCGCCATGAAGCGTCAGCTGCTGGACGAGCAGCGCGAGCGCGTGAAGAGCGCCCAGCTGAGCGAGGCGGCTCAGCGGGGCGCACTCGCCGAGCTGGAGGGGAAGGTCGGCAACGAGCCACGTGACCCGGAGCACCAACTCCGCAAACTCGGGCACAGAGCGCTGCTCCTCTCGCGCTAGCGCGTCAATCGCACACCATCTAGGCCCCCAGGGGGTTCTCAACCTGTGGGTCGCATTCCGAGAGGTGCTTTGGCTGCAGCATGGATACTTGCTCAGGAGAAATGTTAAATGTGTGCGGGGAACATTCGCGCCACGCTGCAGCAGCAGAAGGACACGAATGCTTTGCTAACACTGTGGTGACTAAAAGCAGGTGGATTTAAGAATATTTTTTGTCTATTTATCATTTTAAGATGATCCGAAAAAATGTTTGGTTTCTGATTAATCTTAAAAATATAACATCACCTGATGTGACACCACTATCCGTGCTTTTCCCACCAAATGTCTTGTGTCATTGGGTGATGTCACAAGTTAAATTATTTCATGGAAATTATCCTAAAATAAAAAAGTGCCTTTTAATATCATAGATGTTTTAAACTCATCCCTACTGCCCGTCACCCCGAAAGTGTCCCATGTCTCGCTATGCGATGCATCCAGGTAAAATCCCTCACGGAGGAGGCGAGCGGCAGGAAGGTCGCCCTTGACTCGATGAAGCAGCGTCTGAACGTGGCTACGAAGGCCAAGGGCGAGTACGAGCAGCTCTACCAGAGAGCCAAGGAGGAGCTGGACAAGAAGGTGGGACCGAAGAGGAGACTTACAGCTGCGCTGTCAAACGCTGCCCTCAATTTTAATAAATGCCGAACCGTATTTACGAATGCAATCCGCAGCAGCAAATATATCATCTGCTTAAGGACCACGTGTCCGCTGTGCATTATCAACCCCCCGCAGACGCAGAAGCTGCGCGAACACAATGAGCGTTTACGCGCGGCCGAGGGGGCGGCCGAGGAGCTGGAGGCGGCGGCGTCGCAGCAGCTGCACGAGCTGGCGAGCCACAGCCAGCAGGCGCTGCGTGACCTGCACCAACAGCTGAGCGCGTCTCAATCGCGGACCGCCCAGTTCGCCGACTTCGTCAAGGTGCGGGGGGGTCCGCGGGGTGGGGAGAACCCCCGCGGCGATGCTTCGTGTTGGCCTCTCCGTGAGTGCGTGTTGGCCCGGTGTGTACGTGCACGTGCGCGAATATGCACACGCATAATTTGTATGCGTTGTGGGGATCGCCTGGTGCGCTGTGTAAACTTCACCACTTGAGAGACGAACGCAGCCAGGCGAGGTGCTGGCCACCTTCGCGTGCACTACCGACCTTGGTAGGTGCTTGCTAACAGCACTTGCGCCAACAGTCCGTTAAGGCTATATGGATCTTTGTCTCAGCGTAAGTGTACGTGTGTGATCCAGGCCTTGGCAGGGAAGTGTGTACATACTTGCGTACATGCGAGTGCACATTGGTGTGTACCTGTCTATGTGACCTCTGCCCTGGCAGGGAAGTGCTCGTGCACGCATATGTGTCTGTGAATGTTACGTGTGCGTGCGTGCGTGAGCCAGGCATTGGCGGGGGAGTTTGTGCGTCACACACGGGAGACGCACGCTCTGTTGCGGCGAGCGCATCCGAGCGACACGGTCGCGCGGACGGACTCGGCGAGCCGAGCTCAGTCCCTCGCTGCCTCCATCCTAAACATCACCGAGGCGGAGCTCTCAGACATCCTGGAGGTGGACGAGGCCCAGGTGAGGCTTTACCCCGTCACACTGCCATGTCACAACAGCGGAGATTGTTGAGGAATATGTTACACACTCTGGCCAGGAGACGGCTGTGGTGAGAGCACTCGGCTTGCAAATGAAATCTTGTGAAGTTGAAACCTGATGGGAGTGAATTAGTCATTTATTCTTTCAGGGTTGGGAAAAGTATCCACTTGCTGAGGGTCACCTGTAGTTGTTGTGGGTAGTAGACTGGGCGCCAACATGAACATTTTACCAACGGCTCAGGGCCACCAATGGATAAAAGCACCACTTATATCATTTCAGCAGACACCAAATTGTTAAGTTGTCCCTCACATATTTTATACATTTGTATCAATTCAACAGATTTCTTCTGAATTCTCACCATAATAATCTACTAATCTGTCAATCCTCTGCTAGATGAAGGCCTCCCCTTGCTGTGCATCAGTCATTAGGTTATTTGACCACACTTTACAGTGCTGGCAAGTGCAGGTTTAGCGAAGAGAAAGCCCAGGACCGGATCAGATATTACTCGCCACTAATTTTACCTGTGGCCGGGAATCAAGCCGATAAACCAAGTTCACGGCACAGCGTGCAAACCTCTTCAGCCCTCGTTTGGCAAAACGTAGTGGAGTTTATCAACGACAAAATAATTAAATCTGGTGCAGTGTGTGGTTTTGTAAGAGAAAACGCAACTAAAGCTTTGTTGTAATTTTGTTTATTGATTTGATTACACTTGTTTACAAAGAAGTTCTGGTGGGCCACAGCAATGGTCTGCAGCTGTGCATTGATCACTGTTCAAGAATATAGACAGCCGCTCAAAACACAGCTCTGGTTGCTCTTCAGTGAAGCCACCATTCACTTCAGATCTCGACCCCACACCGTGCAATGTAATGCCAACATGCAGTATGAGAAATTACTTAAAACATAATAAAAGCTTCAGGGACTTGTGTTGGCTGTGGTGCACAACAGGATTAAAATATCTTATAATTAACAGGCACCTCCCGTGGTTAAAAAAATTGAATTTGGCTAAGGCTCCACCGCCCATGCACCTGGTGCTGTTGAGACACTTGGGCAACGTCCATCCCAAAACCTTTATAAACAGTTTGCCTTTAGAGGCCGACTCCTTTTGCTTGATGACGGCCGCTTGTGTTGCGATCGAAACGTCGCGATTTGTTTTATTTCATGTCTAACTTCGTGACTTTACCGGAAGAACCAAAGAGTAAAGGCTCCACTATCTATTTATCTGCTCAATAATATATGCTGCCACAAATGTTAGGCTGATTATTATGCAGGTGAGTTCAGCAGAATGGTTTGCACACTGTACTATAAACCCCACCTGAGTTCAATTCCCAGCCATACCCAACATCAGCGGTGATTTCTGAACCAGTCCAAGCTGACACTGCCCCCCCCCCCCCCCGACACTGATCAGCATGGTGAAGCATCGTCAAATAACATCCCATGAAATGGCCCACGGAGACCTTTATTCAGTCATTAATTCATATAGGCTCTGCGATTTTACGACCATGAACGTGAAGGTTATTACAGTGCATCAACAATGATGGCTTTTGTGAACTCTCATTTGTCTGACAAACTGCAACCGTTTCATCAGGCCAATGCGACGCTGCAGAGGGATAAGCAGTGGTGTAGTGAAGTGGAGGCACTCTTGGATACTCAGGTAACCTTAAACCACCAACCCCCCCCCCCCCCCCCAATGCTTATCCATTCAGGGTGTTTGTATACATGCAGGACTGAGATTAACAGGATCATTCCATGTGTCAGTCTTTTTTTCTGATGTATAAAACATTATCTGCCCGAGCTGACTTGTGGTATATATATAGATTTAAGTTTGTGCAATGTTTTTGATTTGTGAGCTGCTTAGATCACAGGGTAATTCAAAATAAACTGAACAGTTTTGTTCGGATTTCTATTTTCTTCATTGCTGTACTGTTTAAAGGGCAAGTTGTTAATTTGGCAGAAACATGATCGAGCCTATTTTTTGTCAGCAAATTGTTGTAATATAAATAACCAAAAAAAGCATTTGTTAAATTTACCGAAGCAAACATGAATTCCACTGGACTTCATGGCCCTCAAGATTAATTGCCAGTAGCATCCCAACTTTGGAATTATTTTTAAAGACAGTCTTATTAGCAAGGTGCGTCTTGCTACTGGATTGGCACTTTTCTGTATTAAATCTTGACTTAAAGTTTTCGTGACTGCAGGAATTCATATTATTTGGGTCTCAGTAAAGTTACGTAGATGACCACTGCTTGTGTTGCGATCAAAAACGTCGTAGTTTTGTTATTTTCTTTGAACCCATCTACGTGACTTTACCAAAATACCCAAAGAATGACTTTACTGTATTGTAAATAAAAAGTTGATGCTGCAGATTAACATGTACTATTTTATCCAACGTCCATTCTAGTTTGCAGCTTTTTAGTTTACATCTGATTACTAGAATGTTTTATTTTACAGCGTTTTTGTTCCTAAATGACCAGGTTGTGGTGTCTTATCTGGAGAATATGGTAAACTGATGCTCATGGTTAACATTCACTTGTTCTTCTGCAAGTCGGTATTCTCATGATATAATTCTCAAAATTCAAACCCACCATGCCAGAGGGCTTGGTTACTGTAGAAATCCCTTCTCATTTTACAAGGCTAACTGCCGTTAATTTGATATTGCTTTCAGGGTCCATTTGCAGACAGATTGCTACAACTCGTGTTGGAGAAGATGGAGGAACAACTGCAGCTAACACACACCATCCTGCAGCAGAAAGCCACTTGAATAAATGTGAACCAGACTCGCTGTTCATTTTATTGTATTTTTTTTACAATTTACTGTACATGTGTATCTCGATGTAGTTTTCTGGTTACAGCATCTACCCGCTCAATGTTTTACAACTCCCTGGATCAAGTATGCTTTCGCCCAACATCGTTTAAGGCTGTATCTTGCACAGCCACGATCGAAAACACCTCAGCTGTGCATAGGAGCTAAATACAAATGCACTCTTCAGGTTTGTTAGAATGAAGTATATAATCGATCACAATGTATTTTTTAATTGAATTATGGGCAACTGGGTTGACACTAAAATCCAGTTTTCATCTTGGTTGGGGGGTATGGTTGTAGCTCATGCTGGATATCTGTGAAAGAGCTTCATAGTTCATCGGATTGCTCCAGTATAAATGATTCTGAGCTCAGGATCTGGTTTAGTGATTTTAGACAAGAACCCATTGATTCCTGAGCGCCCAAGCTATTAAACGACAATCCTTTTTAAGAAAAATTGATTAGATTGGTCAACTGTTCTAAACCTCAAAATGTTTGTCAGTGTCTTGATGCGGTTGTAGACACATAATACAAAATGAAGCGTATTTCAGATGAATAATATATCTCCATCTGGAATCTTATCGGTGACAACACAAGATGGCACATTTGTATGCCCTACACAAAATGTTCAACACATGGCAACAAAAAATGTTTTTACCCTCAACTTAAATACCAAATAAATCAAAAACTAAACTATCTCAGCAGTGTGGGCTCAATACTTTTACAATGTCATTCGTACCCAAAGAAACCCAGCCACTTCAAACGAGACGTACTTCATGAAAAAAATGGTTCAACATCCGGTGCTCCCTCCTCGTGGCTCTCTAAAAGTACTGGGTGAGGTCTCTGAAAGGGCCAGAACCACACATTGATGAAATTTGATTGACCCGTACGAATCATGCATTAAAACAATGACCAACAGTTGAAATTTCATTTATGGACAACTCATTTTTGTTAATTTATGTAAATGCACAAGCCGGCATAGAATAAGGAGGCCAACAATGGCAAGGGAGAGAACAATATGGACAACACTACGAAAATAATGCTCGTGTGAACAAAAATACAAATACAGGAGAGTACAAATGGTACAAGAAAGACGGCAGAAATACAAATAATATGCACATGCATGGATTCTCTATGCGTGTCCTTTTGAGTGATAGTTGTGCTCACGCCAGGCACGTAGTACATCTGGAGGCTGTGATGAGACAATGAGTTTGATAGTAGCTCTGCCCAGGAAGGTATACCCAAGGCAGGGAGACAGGACACCGTAGCATGTCCTTTTAGAGCCAATGTCTGTCCAAGTTTTGGGCAACCCTTAGATCCATGTCAGTTTTCACCTGGGTAAGTCCCTAATAACACAAGTTGACACTCATTTTTTGGTTCATATTGCATCTTCTTGAAAAGAGTTATGCCCCCCTCCCCATTAAGGATGGACAGACAGAGCAACATTATTTGGAAAGTATTAAAAACAGTCGACAAAAAATATATATAGTACAAGTACACGTGAGAAAGTATTGATCAGTAGGCACATATTGAGGCTCTACTCACCTAAAACCAGGCGGATGTGCAGTTAGTATTTTGTTTGATATTTCACATGCAACCAAATTAACAGAGAATGAGCTTGCATTATTCACGGTCATCAATAGCACCATAAAATCATGAACAAATTAATTCCCATCTACTGTATCGGGGGAAAATTTCACTAATCAAACCACGCTCTCCAATTGGTCCCGTCATATTTCAGAGACCTATATAGTGCTAAGCCTGATAGTAGCATCCCAGCACAGCCCTTCACTTCCCAGAACACCATTTTAAAAATCACTGTGGGAAATAAATGTGACTCAAACTGAAGTGCAAAGCGAAAGTCCAGTACAGGTGTGTCTCGCTTAATGAGCGTTTTCTACGAGAATTCTCTATAACAATACATTTTAAATTAAGACCACTGTTCGCGTAACAAGCGGAGACTGATCGATCAAATGTGTTCCGTGGCCGCAGGGGGTGCACCACAGCCCGCAGTTTGTCGTTTGCATCGCGCGCGTTCAGATGTGCTTCTGTGGCTGTCTGCAACGCTCTTCCCTTTCGATATTAGAAAGCCACTGGAGCTATGCACTTTTAATGGTTGGGTGGGGGAGAGGTGGTGGCGATGCTAATTAATTGCAGATGCTGAGGACATGTACCTGCAAGCACTGGTTCTTCATGTGTGGTGTTACATTTCATGGTTTACTTTATTTAAAATTAGAATTTGCATTTCTCACAATAAAGTTGCTCAAGCGTGGAACATTTTGGGGTTGAAATATAACACCGCTTTTAACATGGAAGTCAGTGGGAAACCCATCAGTTTAACATGTAGGCTTTCAGGACCAACATCCATAATACAGATTTGTTTTGGGTTAGATCGCAGAGTTTACGCCATCTGACCCAATAAAAAACTTTTTTTCGATTGGATCGTGTAATTTACGTGTAACTTATGCGATCCAACCCAAAAAAACCTGTATTATGGTGAAACACAGGCTTTCGCGACCAATATTATCCACACAGGTTTTTTTGGGTTAGAACGCGTAATTTATGCTAGCTAACCCAAAAAAATATCTGTATAATGAAACCGATCCTTTACCGAATTTTGGCTTCACCAACCATTTTAGCAGAACGTATCTCGCTCGCCTTTACTGCTTTGCCGTTTTATTGGCACTTCCGTCCAGTTTAGATCTGCAGCCAGAACCATTTCATTTCCACAACAGGATCACAGGTCACTTATAGGTTCCGATAAACACACAGGCACAAACATGTACAAATACGTAAGAGGCATTACATTGGAATGATGGTATCTCGTGTTGACCCACATTAAAACAGTGCCATGAAAAAGAAGTTTCCACAAAATGTTACCTTTTTATAATGCTTAATATATTTGGACAAATATTTCCCCACCACCACCAATTCCAAGCAATCTGTGGAACTGATACGGTTACAGAACCCATTTGTAAATAAGCACTGGGCCAAGTAAACCGTTCGGTAGACATGGGAACTGTACATCAGCTGCGCAATAATTTTGGCACAAAGTCCAATGACTGCAGCTTTAGTTTCTGCTCTGATATTACACTGTCACAGCAATGTGATTTGTACAGAACATTAATCTTTTTATTAGATTTATCATGAAATGAAATACAATTTCAAATAAACTACATAAATCTGTTCCTCTTCACGACCTCTTTGCATTTCAGAATGAATGGTACAAATAAGCATTTAGTCAAGTCTGAAAAATGCTGTGCTGTACGCACGTGCTCCGATTCAAGCTTTTACAATGATCTAGACATACAGGATATACAGTAGGAAACATTAAAAACGTGGTGATATCCATTTTACTTCCTTATCCCTTTTCAGTGCAAGCTTTCAGCTGGAACTTGAGGTACAACTGAAAAACAATAACAAGCAGAGATCTCAAATTACACATCATTTCACTTCACATACCATGCACTTGATCTTGTAAGATCTCAGAAGCAAAGCGGAGTTGAGCCTGGATAGTAATTGGATGGCTGACCACGGTACACAAATAAATTGTTATAAGGTGGCAGGGCTGTACTTAATTGTGGACAGCAGGGCGCAGTTCAGAAAATTTGATGATTGTACTGTGCATCTATGCTCCAACATCTATGCTCTGTATCCTCAACCTGCAGTGACAAGAGTGGTTGAGTGTAGTCAAACAACCCACATGGCTTGACTTTGCCTGCCTCCAGCAGTTGATTACAAATGGGCTGTACACGAGCATCCAACCACTTAAAACAGTCACTTTTAACTTAGAATATATTGAGGATGGTGAAGTCATGTAAATATACTTATTGTTTTGCAAATTATATCCCAATTGTACTGCCTAATCACAACTGCCAATCAGCAGAAAGTCCTAGTGTTGGGGAGTCACTGGAACAGGCCTTCCTCACCCAACAGAGCTCCTGATATGCCCTGTGAAGTATGTTGGCACATGCAAAATGTTATTCCTCAAATACAGAAAAAATACCTACAAACAAAAAATATTGACACCACTTTGTTAATCGATTCCTAAACGAAAGTCTCCCCATGCCATGTTGGTCACGAGGGGTTTGTGTTTGACAATACTTCAACACGCTGGTCTGCATGGGCTGGTAAAGTGTATGGGGCCAAAGACCAGTTCAGATACTGATGTTAGCAGGGGCCATGAACCAAACTCCTGAAAACAAGGTTCGCGCAGTAGTGGACTAACCACTGCGCCATCGCTCCACCTGTCTAAAGGTAGAATGTGTAAATGCATTGCTGTCTGAGGGTCTCCGTGCCATGGGTCGTAGGTATTATTTGACAAGATTGGAGTTTACCGAGCATGTCAGCACGGGCTGGTGGAGACAAGGAACAGATGTGGAAGCATAGCAAAGTACAATAATTCTGCACTGCCCTCTGCTGCCAACAATACAGCCAGGCAGCAGTCTGTAACGTCTGCTTAATACAGTGGCTACTCATCAAAGCACTATCCAGGGACAGCCCTTAGCTCTGGATATCTGATGAGATTGGGTACATTTCATTTAACTTTGTTATACAAAAAGGTTACATGAATTAATAACGTAACGTTTTGTACAGTCATTAGAAAATGAGCCAAGACCAACTAGTTATACTTGAGAATTGCTTTAACCAGGAGGCACTATCAGTATCGGTTCATTGTTCTGCAATGGGCATTGTATGAGCGAGCCACCTGATTGAGCCACCAGACCACCTTGAATTTTACTTCTTGAGTCCAAGATAATGCGACATTAAGTAGTGACATGGAGAGTGCAGAAGGGGTAGTGGAGGGATGAAGACTATGAATGTAACAATTCACCCTCTTGTAATTTGACAAATCGACACAATTTGGAGCCACGATTAGAAAATCCATTATTTTAATGGCGTTGTAGTTTAGTAGAAGCACAGCGGTTTGCAGGATTTACGTGAACCAAAAACACAAATCAAAATGTATTTTAAATGCATAATTCGACACATGATAAACATATGAATCGATGCATCGTTACATTCATTCGTGAAGAGTGAGATGCCGAACAGCAGGTAGGAGAGGTGGTGTAATATTTCTACAAGACTCCATGTGAAGTGGAATGTTAATTTAATAAAAAATGTTACCATCTGTGCTTTCGTTGCAAGGCAGGGTGGCCTCCTGCTCCTCCAAAATCATGCAGTCATCACCGGCAGGGTCCGCCTGATCCAGCTTTACGTCAGACACCTATACAAGTAGCATGGACATGACATCACACCTGACATGAGCCAATAACATCGCTTAAATCGACATTAAACTGTAATCGGTGTACATCGCTCCACACACCAGAGGAAAATGCCACATGAAAATGCATGGCACCTCTACCATTATGGATAATGCAACTCTACCAACCGCTTCGTTGTAAGTCCGAGCTAACACATTCTTCCATTTTACCAGATGAGCACGAGAACTGGGACAATTAGTCGATGATATTTATTAAGCCACCATCATCATTCTGCGATTGGTGATTACTCAGGCCGTTTCAAAAATAACCTGCCTCAAAAATGCATTAAAATCCTAACAGGCCACACACAGCGAGAGAATGTTGACGATGCCAATGATGTCACAAAGTCCTGTCCATAACCTCTTGTACAGTGGCATATTATTTCTGATTTATCAAGTAATCTATTAAATATCGGATAGCCCAACTCTTTATGGCATTGCTGGTAGAGCGCTTGACTCACGACTACAAGGTCTCAAGTACAAATTCCAGTCAGGAGGTAATTCAGCCCATTATCCTTCCCAGGTAAATAAAATCAGCACCGGCCTGAAACATCAGCAGGTGTCAGAGATTGGTCCCAACCTTGAAAAATGTGGAATTATCCACTGCCTAACATAATATTGCCATCTGCATGGAAGTGGCATCGTACTTTTTGTGAGTGGCAGTAGCATGTTCTATATGCGAGTCATACAGTGACAGTAGCAGATCCTATGGGAGTAGCAGCAGTGCTGTGTGGCAGCAACAGCACGTTGTGTGTAACAGCAGCGTACGCTGCGTTTGACACGAGTGTAAACTATGGCACCGGGAAGCAGCACGTGCTGTCAGTTTGACAGGAACGTGTGCGGCAACATCATTTTCTGCGACCGTAGCAGTCGCGTGTGAGCAGCACCACGTTATATTATGTGCAGTACCATAACACCGACTGCTGGGTGCATTAAATCGTTTATGACAATGCGGACGCGCCCCTACCGCTTTTCCGGGCTCCTGCTTGTGTATGAAGGCCGTGATCTTGCGAGTGTTGACGGGGGTGGACGCGGCCATCTTCCTCCCTCCTTCCCGTGCGGCGGCGGCAGCAGGGGACGTCCCCGAACTTTGCGTGGGCACCGCGGACCCCGCCTCGCCGTCCCTCTCCCGCACAGGCGGCGAAGTCACGTAGTTCCAGCGGCTCGGCACGGGCAGATCTTGCAGGCCGTACTTGAGCAACACGTCGGCGTGCACGTACCAGCACACGCGCTTCAGTTCGTTGCGCTTCCTGTACACGGCACTCTCCTTGATCAGACGCTTCAACCGCATCTTGGAGGGCAGCGCCGTGTCCCACCTGTTCCTGTGCCGTTTCTTCGTATCCAGTGGAGTTTCCTTCGGCGGAGATTCTTCCTGCGCCTCCCGTTGCAGCCACCACGCCTGGAACTCGTCGATCATGAATTTGCTGCAGTTGATGTTGCCATGCACTAAGGGCAGGAGATCTCGTAAGACTGTAGGAGTGGGGCATGAGGTGGTGGTGTTGGCGGGGAAGGGGAGGAGCCGGACACATCCACAGCACACGCTTCATGTCAAGCTGGATCTCGTAAGATACATGACCGTTTGTGATAAGCGTTCTGTAAAAAATGATAGGAGATAATTCAGTACAGCTCGCAGCACTGACATTAATTATTAAAATTCAAGCAAATTAATTCTCAAGAGTCGTGAAATAATCTTCTTCGTACGGCTGATGCAGATGTAGAGCAACAACTACAATTTCATATTCAGGTGGTCAAGCCAGACAACAGTGTCTGGAACAGCAGACTATGTATGAATGCAGAACTTTTTTCCCACCATATAAAGCCAACCGTGATAATCAGAGCTATATCGCAGTGAGATTTACTTCGAATTTGTGGATCAGGCATTGCATGATAGATTGTATGATGTTTTACATTTCCATTAAGTGAAATAATGGTCTCAGCCAAATAACCATTCATTGAAAAAACTTCATCAAATCATTTCATATGGAATTATTCACAACAGACAAAACATCAAGGAACAGAAACAAGTTATTCTTTTGAGGCCATATCATGACTCAAGGGGCTGTACTGATTGAATGTATTTGAGATTGACTTTTTTCTAGGGGACTGTGATATATTAAGAAGCTACAGGAAAAAATGGGACAGTGCTATGAGGTATGATCTAAGACACCCCAAAGAGATGACATAGGAACAATATAAAATGAAGGAAAACCTTGGACTTGAGTGCTATCATGGGGAGAATTTTAGACGCCGGGGGCAGCAGGAAAATAGGAGCGACATCCCATTGAGCGGAGGTCATCGGATTACAGGCGTGCAACCATTATACCTGGCAACGTTATCTGCTCCCACCATTAAGTATTACTCCGGGAGTCACAACACTGAGCTGGCACCACTTAGATTATTTTACGTTGCCTAAATCAAGCTGAGAATAAAACAAAATATTGGTTTCACTCAACCCAACTTTGTATTTTACCAGTTAAAGCTCACGGAACTATATAGATCTTTTTCAGAAGCAACCTGGCCACAATTAATAGCTCAATTAAGTGGCTTATGTAGACATTTATAGCAGGCAAGCTCAAAATGCATGTTTCTAAATGTGAGGGGAAAACGAGAGGACCTGGAGAAAAATCCACGTGACCACAGGCAAAACATGCAAACTCTAAATATACAGTAAGGAAAAAAAGTATTTGACCCCCTGCTGATTTTGTACATTTGCCCACTGACAAATAAATTATCAGTCTATCATTTTAATGGTAGGTTTATTTTAACAGTGAGAGACAGAATAACAACAAATCCAGAAAAACGCATGTCAAAAATGTTATAAATTGATTTGCATTTTAATGAGGGAAATAAGTATTTGACCCCCTCTCAAATCAGAACGATTTCTGGCTCCCAGGTGTCTTTTATACAGGTAACGCGCTGAGATTAGGAGCACACTCTTAAAGGGAGTGCTCCTAATCTCAGCTTGTTACCTGTATAAAAGACACCTGTCCACAGAAGCAATCAATCAATCAGATTCCAAACTCTCCACCATGGCCAAGACCAAAGAGCTCTCCAAGGATGTCAGGGACAAGATTGTAGACCTACACAAGGCTGGAATGGGCTACAAGACCATTGCCAAGCAGCTTGGTGAGAAGGTGACAACAGTTGGTGCAATTATTCGCAAATGGAAGAAACACAAAAGAACTGTCAATCTCCTCGACCTGGGGCTCCATGCAAGATCTCACCTCGTGGAGTTGCAATGATCATGAGAACGGTGAGGAGCAGCCCAGAACTACACGGGAGGATCTTGTCAATGATCTCAAGGCAGCTGGGACCATAGTCACCAAGAAAACAATTGGTAACACACTACGCCGTGAAGGACTGAAATTCTGCAGCGCCCGCAAGGTCCCCCCCCCTGCTCAACAAAGCACATATACATGCCCGTCTGAAGTTTGCCAATGAACATCTGAATGATTCAGAGGACAACCGGGTGAAAGCGCTGTGGTCAGATGAGACCAAAATGGAGCTCTTTGGCATCAACTCAACTCGCCGTGTATGGAGGAGGAGGAATGCTGCCTATGACCCCAAGAACACCATCACCACCGTCAAACATGGAGGTGGAAACATTATGCTTTGGGGGTGTTTTTCTGCTAAGGGGACAGGACAACTTCACCGCATCAAAGGGACGATGGACGGGGCCATTGTACCATCAAATCTTGGGTGAGAACCTCCTTCCCTCAGCCAGGGCATTGAAAATGGGTCATGGATGGGTATTCCAGCATGACAATGACCCAAAACACACGGCCAAGGCAACAAAGGAGTGGCTCAAGAAGAAGCACATTAAGGTCCTGGAGTGGCCTAGCCAGTCTCCAGACCTTAATCCCATAGAAAATCTGTGGAGGGAGCTGAAGGTTCGAGTTGCCAAACGTCAGCCTCGAAACCTTAATGACTTGGAGAAGATCTGCAAAGAGGAGTGGGACAAAATCCATCCTGAGATGTGTGCAAACCTGGTGGCCAACTACAAGAAACGTCTGACCTCTGTGATTGCCAACAAGAGTTTTGCCACCAAGTACTAAGTCATGTTTTCCAGAGGGGTCAAATACTTATTTCCCTCATTAAAATGCAAATTAATTTATAACATTTTTTACATGCGTTTTTCTGGATTTTTATGTTGTCATTCTGTCTCTCACTGTTCAAATAAACCTACCATTAAAATTATAGACTGATCATTTCTTTTGTCAGTGGGCAAACGCACAAAATCAGCAGGGGATCAAATACTTTTTTCCCCTCACTGTACAGGCATCGAGTCGGGATTGAACCCACGACCTCCTGCATACCGGGGGAGGTATTTAACATCAGACAACCGCAGCGCCCGCTGTCATGAAACAACCATTACTCTCAGTGGCAGAGTGAGCGGAAAAGAACTGCCCCCTACTGTGTGCAAGAGGTCACTTGAAGAGATCTCGAGTGATAGCTCCGATATCAAATTCCCACGAGCTACTCTTGAACATGGGACGTTGCACCACTTTGAGAGCTCTTTTAATGGATTCTTCGGTTCATGACAAGTTGCCGAAAGCACAAGCTCCTCACTCTGGATGTCCCGGAGCTGCTTGGTCTCCTGGGCATTCTCCTTCTCCTCCTCCTCCTCGGCTCCGAGATTGAAGCGCTGGCCCTTGTAGGGCAGCAGCTTTTGCAGGGCTGCGCTGTCCGCGCCTTCACCCTCCCACACGCAGCCAATCACCACAGGCTCCAGACGCTGGCAGCGATGCGTCCGCGTCAGGTCGTCCCACTCCTTCGCCTTGAGACGCTCGCGCAGCTTTTTTGTCTCGGCGCTTAGCTTGCCCTACACATGGCGGGGGGGGGGGGGGGGGGGGGAGGACACTGCTCTGTAAACGTCTCACCACTTTGTAAATGTGTCTCCTCTCGGACAGGGCGTTACAGAGGCACAGTGACGAGACAATTGGGGTGTGTGAATTTGTTATTTTAGATCTTAATGTTTTGGTGTTGTCCTCATCTAGTCAATGACAGCCTGTGGAATTTTAGTCAAGTCTTGGTCGGTGAATTTCATTTTGTCATTCTCTTAATCTAGTGAACTGAAATACACATTTAGTGCAATTCTAATTATTATCTGTTGGTGTGAGTGGTACAATTTCCCCACCTAGCCAAGATTTTCAAGTGATCTAATTGGGGAACTCACCACAAAATATTTTCAAATATATACATATATAGACAAACACATATTTGGTCTTCCTTGGTGCCCTAATCTTTTAAATGTTACTCAATTATCTTTGTCTGCATATTAACTCACAAGATAATTGTCTCACCACAGACAGTCAAGCTTTGGTCTTTTTAACACTTTGACGACAAAGTTTTACACGAAATTCGTTAATAAAATTAACACGTGTGCGTACAGCTCTTGCAGCACTCATTGACCAAATTGCGGTCTACCGCCTCTACCCTATCAACCACACTGAGGGTCCAATTCGAGAGCCGGTAAACATTATTTTCATCCGATTCTTGGAAACAGTGGTGAGGCTTCCATCTCCAACAAGAGCAATTTGTCAAGGTGATGTTTTGGCTTTTCCATAAAAATGTTGATAACCTTCGTCTTTTTTGTTTATAGGTGCAAGGCAATACTGTTGTCAATCTTTATATCTCTAGCTGCTACCCTCCTCCACTGGTCTCTGTTATTAATCATTTATAAAACACAAAACGTGCGTGGAAAATTTATAAATTACATTTACTAAATTTTATTTAATGATAACGCACGCTTCTGGGTCCGACAGAAACAGAAAATGCCAACCTCAGAGTTGTAAAAATCTTATTTTTGGTAGCAGGCTGTAACACCCCGAAGGAAAATCGGCTAAGCAAGTTCAAGGATGGCATTTTCTGCTTCCATAGCGCCCAAAAGCATGTATAGCATCGGTTTTCATACTTTCATGACTTCATAATGGAAGTTATTTCATTAAAATATGCCAATCACTACTGATACTTTGCAACACATTACATTTTATATAAAAAAGTAATGACCTCTGGTTCAGTCTAAAAACACCACGTAAACCAAACATGTGAATCCATGGTCACACACACACCTCCCCATCGGAGACGCCCTCTCCATCAGAAAGGTGACCGTGAGGGACGAAGAACCCGTCGTCATCGTCATCATCATCATCCTCCTCGTCGTCTTGCTCCTGATTGAAACAAGAGATACATACGGACGAAGCTATAGAAGTTCAACAGATCTAAGTTCAGCACCGACAGATAACATACCCGAGAAATCTGCGAAATGTGGTATCATTTTGGCGGCGGGACCCTCATGGCATTAATTTCACATGCCTTTACCATGGGTCACATGAGACCTAACCTACTTGAGCACCATTTCAAGTAAAAACAAAGTTCACATTTTTATTATTGCACTTGAAAAACTGTAACGAGACATTAACTATGTAAATTAACATTACCTGCCCAATGCTTGATTCAGCAGTGAGACCCTGACCTTGATGATTACTGCAGTATTGCACGCTAAATATTGATCAGGAAACAGCATCACTGCGACAAGCTCAGTGAATATCCATGTCAAATTAATGGACGATTTCTAGAGAAGGTGATTTAAACATTTTAGTCGCTTTCAAAAGTTTACATTAGGCTTCTGGTTAGTTTATACGCTGGTGATAAATGCCCGTGTTGAACATTCAGAGGGTTATAATAAATGAACGTGCATTATTATTCTGTTCCACTCACCCCTTCACTGTGCGAAATGGACTCCCCAGGCTCCTCTTCCTCCCACTCGTCATCACTGTCCACCTCGTAGTCCAGCAACTCCTGTCAGTCGCATACGACCACACGAAGCGCTCGGCTGTCTGACAGGAGCCAGACAACACTAACCTGGAGCTGTCACACACCTTGCTGCTCTTTACACAGGCAAGGAGACAAATACATATAAAACTAGATGCCCACGCCGGGGAGACTTGCCGTGACTGACGGACCGACATGAGTGCAAACCCGAGATATGAAAATAAGCAACACTGTAATTAAAAGGGTTTTTTTTTTTTCTCTGAAGGTCTGCTGCATCTAGAACAAATTCTTAAGCAAAAAATAATGACTACACATTACCTAAAAAAACTATGCAATGTGACAGGAACAAAATACAAAAATAAACTTAAACTTTTTGCCATGACATTCAAGAAAGCACTTTTTACCAAGGGAAACAAGAATTATTTAAAATTACTGAAAATTTCCGCTCAATACATCAGTTGACATGCCTTCAAGAAAGCCATTAAGGCAGACTAGGCATTCTACACTTTTGAGTGATTTAACATCAAAAGTGATGTTACATTCACGTTAAAATGTGCATTTATCAGATCATACGCTGCCATTATCTTACCATGGAATTGAATACCCTGGTTAGTAGGTCATAATACAAACAATGTGACTGCAAATGGTATAAAGCTCAACAAAGAAGCCAATGTGGAAATTAAGATTGAAATGTGCATTGACTGGGGTCTCAATACTTTGTCCTTGGCGAGGGGGTTGCGTGGGTTGATGTGCTTGCTGCACTTGCTCCAGGTGCCCCAGTAAGCAGGCCGATTGTTCTCATTAAACTGCAGTAGCTTCATGCGGCCAAACCTCTTCCGCTCCTCCACGGAGACTCTGTTTGCCGTCACCTTCTCAATGACCTCTAGTTCACTGCTGTGGGTGAAGAAGCCATAAGTCAAACAAATACAGAAATGTTGAAGCATAAAAGCTATATATGGGAAGAAATCAGAGTAGCCTCATTAAAGAAAACCGAGCATACGCAGAACCGACTCAAAATTCCATATGCACAGGTCAAAAACCAACGTGTCGCCACCTTAGGACCACCTCGCAGTCCATTAAGTTCAGTCTCATGAACAAGATGTAATGTGCGACCAGTGTTAGTTTGGTAGGCAAGGTTAGTGACAAGTGTGTCAACGTATTTTATATTGACCAACGACTACTGAGTGGAAATAAAATAATACAGCAAGACAATGACAAACACAAAAGCATGACTGTGACGAGGCTACATTAACAAGTATGAATAAGACAAAGCAAATTTTGCAATGTATAGACACAGCAGTGCACTGAGAAACAAAGTAGGTTGGTTTTCAAACCTGATGATGACTGCTTGTGTTGCAGTCGAAACTTCGTGAGCATTTTATTGTTTTATATATATTTTATTATTTTATTGCTTCCCTTCAACGTGACTTTACCGAAAGAACCAAGAATATAAAGTAGGAATTAGTTATGGTGGACATAAAAAAATATTTACTAAGTTCACCGATTAGCTGAACTGCTGGTATTAGGGGAGGAAGTATAAAACCCTTGCACCAACATTTAATGAGTGAACTATACTAATTTACAATTATTAAATCTATATAAAAAGTCTTGACTTAAATTCCATAGGTTGTCTTTGACGGAGCAAAATGAAAACAATGAAATTAACATGCGTGACCCACCAACCCTTGATGCAGGCATACACCATCAGTCTTGAGCTTTGGAGTAAACTAGACTTTGCGCGTATATGGAAATGTAAAAAATCATAATACCAATTACCTTTAAGCCTTATGTATTTGCCTGCAAATGCATATACAGTATAAACAGTTCATATAAAAACAAAAGTGCATCAATGATATCCTAAAAACCTCAATATTGGCATTTGGCTCTTGAACATCTGCTGTACGAAAAAATTATAGAAACATCTTCCCACACCCTTACCTTCAGCACAACACCGCCATGTACATGCACATAAAGAACTCCATTTGGACAGTTACAGTTCAGAAAATTAGAATACAAACCCATGTGAACCAATGCCATAGAAGATGGAATGCATTAATCTAGTTTTCATACAAGGTCTCAAGGCTAAAGCGAAAATGTATTCCCGAACATTTGTATTTTTGTATAACCACAATATCTTTAAATTTTGATTTAAAGCTTTCGTGACTGCAGTAATTCATATTCTCAGCTCTTTCGGTAAAGTCACGTTGAAGGGAAACAATAAAATATAAAAAAAATTATTGTTTTTCTTCAACGTGACTTTACCGAAAGAGCTAAGACTACACAATATCTTTCTTACATTCTAACATATTTGAAACAATAATGCTATACGCAATGATTATGGATCAATCTTGTACACAAGTGATTTTTTTTTTATTCTACATGTATAGCAAAGCTCGGGGTACTGTATATTAATTCAGGCAGCCATTGACATTTCCAAATTGGTTTAAAATGTTACACATTTAAAAGGCCAACGATGTACGATTAAATGAGGCTAAGAGCCACAGCATCCCTTTGAGGAACGTTGATGATTGCATATTCATTATTCAGTGTCAAAATGTCTCCCTGCTCAAACAAGCATTGCAGACACTCATCTCCGTCAGTGGCTCTGAGCCAGCAGAAGTGGAACTTCACAACGGCTATTTGAAAAAACAGGGAACCCGATATTAATCGAAAAATCAATGCAATGTCCCATCTCTATTTGTTATGCAATACCTGTAAAGGGGGATATGTCCACATCACCCAAAATGTCCCCAATCTCATCATATATGGTAAGTAAAAAAATTGCTTAGTGTTATTTGTATACATTTTCAGTGATGCGTTTACCTTTCCTATACTTTGCACTCCTATCGTGTTTTTTTATTGTTTGTTGTCGTAACTGCCCCTTCTAGAAATCTGTGAAAAAAAGCTTTATAGCTCATCGGATTCCTCCGGTGTAGATAAATATTTTGATATCTCCGAGCGACCAAGCAGTGGGAAATTTCGAGACCGATTTGTCCGCACAACTGATCGGTCAGTTGTGGACCCGACTTAAAGTGCATTTGCAAGGAGTAACAATGTGACAAACGTGCAATGACTTGCCTCTCCAGTTGAGCTGTGCAGATGGAGTTGGCGTACGGATATGTTTTTTTGCTCGTCTTTGGCTTGCGCCGCTTCAGCTCGTGTAGGTACAGGTTCTGGGCCGCCTGGCTCTCGATAGCCTCATCGACAGCGCTAATAAGCACCTCCACACGCCGCACAGGAGCCACTCGCATGTTGTTCTTTATTTCAAATGGCGCAAATGGTCCGCAGGTCCCCGTAAGCGTCTAGAGAGGAAATGTGTTTTTTTTATTACGAATCCTTTTGACATTGTTTATCCACTGCTGGATGAAGGTCTGTGACCATGCCTCACTGTCCCTAGAATTCCACAATCCATCTTACCCTTGCACATCATTAGCTGAACCGATCGTATTCTGTCGGAAAGCTTATCCCCACCACACCATCAGTCCTCCTGGCATTATCCTGCCCAAATCCACTTGCTTTTGGAAATGGTCGACAGAATCTCATATTTAGATTTGTTCCCCGACTCAAAATTCCTATTATCACAATTGAAACAAGACATACAAGAGCTGAAAATCACTGCAAGCCCTCTGCAATTGGCAGATCAACTTTTGAATGATTTTAATAACTAACCTTGGGGGCCTGAGGAGTTTTACCCTTGGTGAAAAAACTGGCAAAAGCTTCTTTGGATTTTTCTTTCTTCATACGCTGCAACAAATGAATTGACAGTTAATGTGAAGCCAGTTGCAACCCAACAGTAAAACACTCAACAAGCATCAATTTAAAAACACATCCATAACTTCAGCTATTGTATGAAATACCTTTTCTTCTTCCATTTTACTCTTCTCCTCCTCTTTCTTGCGTTTTTCTTCCTGCTTTAACCTGGACACCCAAGAAAACGATACACATTTGAAACAAAAGCACAACATATGTACGTTGTAGCACTGATCTTGGCGAAAAAGTAAAGTAACCGTCTCTCAATTAATGGATCGAGGTTGATAACTCTTACATTGTAACATGACTTTGTATTTTGTGAATGTGGTGTTATTGTCACATGGATAAAATAAATTTACATAGAAGAACCAGAGTGGGTCTATTGTATGATGGCATGTGGCTTTTAATGTACGTAACATCAGTTTTTGTTATATTTAAAGCATTTACAGAGCAAATGTACAACAGCACAAGTGATCCATCTGTACAATTCCCCAAGCAAAAAATGCATGAAGATTCACTCAATTAAATTAGGTTTATTTGATTGATACAAAGCAAATGTTTTGCACCCCAGCCTGATCATTCAAAATGATGTATAGCTTACTAGAGTTTGACAACTTACTAGTGTACATTAAAAGATAACCAACAGGCTTGTCTCATGCCAATAGTCGAATATGTAATCGTATTTTACCTTATATTTACATTATACACTCCTTTTACAGACGAGCAGCTAGCCATGGATAGTCTCCTCTAACAAAATTTAATGAGCGACAATTATTGAACATAATTATAGTAGAGGTGAATCATTAAAATGCCAAGCTGCCAGTGCAGGAAATACTGGCAGCCATGGACGAGAGCTTAAACTATGTTAGACTATAAAGTTGATACACTTGAAAACCCCGATTTAATCAGTTGTTGACACAGTTATAACCTAGGATCTCAGCAGTCCTGGCACAGTGTTTCAACATAGACATTGAGCAACCACCTCTGTTGTGAGGGTTGGTTCACAAAAATCAGGTATAACACTAACTGCATGAAGCAACCAGTCACCTAACAATACCAAATGGATTCAGGCTTTACCAACCAACACTCAGTGACCAGGGTGGAAGGTCGGATGGCAATCATTAAAGGTTTGTTCTAAACAGTGTTTACGGTCGGCTTGGATTAGATAAAAATATGTAATGTACAGCCCTGTCAATACACAGTGGGCTGAAGGCATCCCCACACCATTCCAATCATGGGAGTTGTTTGATGCTTCACAATGCTGCCCAATGTGGTGGTGAAGGGGTGACCCAGAACTGGTTTCGATATCACTCACTACTGATGTTAAGTGAAGCTGAGCATCAAACTCATGTCACCGGGTTCATAGCAGCGCGCTGCAAATCCACTCCAACATCAAACTAAAATCTTTTAATCTTGTAATTTTCCACAAATGTTTAGTTCCATGCTGACCCCATAGTCGTCACAATGGGTTTTGAGGCTGTCCCCGGTAAAAGGTGCAGATCCCTTATAAAAGTAAACTCCTAAGGCTGCTTTCTCAACCAACTTGGTATTAGGTCTGCCAATTAAGCTACCATGGGGGGACGCATTCTGAGCCAGCGAGTCTGGCTTGAGAACAAAACCGAGAACAAAACCAACAACAACCTTCCCAGAGATCATGGAAATACAGCACCACGGAAGTTTCTTTACTCACTCTATGGCCTCCTGCTTTTCACGCTTCTTTTCCTCCTTGAGCTTAGATTTCTCTGCTTTCTCCTGCTCCTTCTGCTCGCGTTCCTCCTTGATCTTGCGGCGAGACTCCTCTCGTGCCAGGCGAGCCTCCTCGCGCTGCCGCTCCTTCTCCACCTTCTCTTCCTGCCGATGTCGTTGTTTCTGCTCCAGCTCTGCCTAAAATTACAATCGTCAGATAACAGTCCAAGGAAGTGGATATCAAAGAGCTCAACTCGGAGAGCCCTTCCAGTGGCCACACAGTAGGGTGCAGCAATCTTCATTGCACGACAGTCAACCTGCTCGTTTTTAAATCCCGGAGCTAAAATTCTGCCAGATTTAGTGCAGAACAAAATATTTATGTTAAGGAGGTTTTTTTTGTTAAGTCATTAAGGACAGGACTGAGATCATTAACTCACTGCAAATGAGAGTGCGGTTGAATCACTGGCGACTGCCCGGATTTAAAAACAAATATATTATCAGTGCCAGCCCAACGCTCTGACCTCGAAGGCCACCTCGCATATTCAGGATACATTTTTAAAATAACAAAGCCCTTTACTTTGCCAAGATGCCTCCGCATTATTCATATGGGAAACATTGGGCAACAGTATGTACACAGCTCAATAAAATATGCTGGAATTTGAATTTAAAGCTTTTTAATCTACATGAATTCAACAGTTAAAATGGATTCCTTAGTAATTGTAAATCTTTTAAAATACTTAATATATTGTAATTACCTTATTTCATGAACAGCATTTCATGAATGACACGTTTGCTTATTTATTGCTCCTTACTCGCTAATAACACAAATCATTGTGAGAAAGTACATTTGCTTTTATTTTCAGAGCCAAAAAAAGAAAATGCCAAAATTTTACGTGATGATTTTCCAGTCATTGGTCACAGGGCTGAGATCATTTTGCTACTTAAAAATCCAGTTTTAAATCCAAGGCCTTGATTCAAAGTCACCTTTTCGCTCATAATTTTTCTTTATTTCTGCATCCAGGAGGAAGCTGATGACCAATGAAGCTCTTTTTCACATATGTCCAGTAGGAGCAGGTCAGCTCAGCCCTCCGAATTCGGATCCACACTGATATTATCATTATTTGTATCACTAATCAAAATATATCAGTAGTCCCACAAAACAAAGGATTTTTTTTTTTACAAAATTCTCGAAGCCAGCAGATCATAGTCTGAATTAAATGTCCTTGGATATTGATAACACAGAAACTACTTGAATAAATACTTGCATACACATCTCAAACAATGCATGGTGATATTTCATGCTATGCAAGGTGCAATGATATATTTAAAAGTTGAAACTAAATTCAGAAAAAAACCTTTATATGATGCTATGCTGCGTTCTTGAAGGCCAATTAAGACCATGTACAAGTGATCACATGTTTTAACCTGGAGTGTTTGCTCAGATTCAGCCCAGGACCTTACTGGTTCCAGCTGTGTCATAACATAATCGTGGAGGCCCTGAGCCACCCAACCGTCTAAAAAAAATTAGGATTTATTATGTGTAGTCTGTGGTAAGTTCAATGCATTTAGTAAAGGGATTACTAAATGATCACAAAAGGCAACATCTCACGAAGCAACACACGTGTATTAATTAACTAATTAATGAGACCCGACATTGTGCTTAAAGATATTACCTCAGGGGGATAATTAGTCTGGTTTTAAGCAGCTTCTTACCATTTTCTGTTTACGGACACCTGGTCTCTTCTTGACACTCCCAAGTTTCTGGAAAAAAAGGGATGCATGAAATAATCATAAATCCTGCTTAAATATTATATAGCAAGAGCAAGGCAATAATTTTACACATTATGAGGAACATTTAATGTTATTAACCGAGGCAATGTTTGCATTGCTAAAATTGTTTAACTTGATGCTTCATTTTAAATTCCTATTATATGAAAATACATCAATTACACAGCAGAATAACTAGACATTTCAAACAACTTATTTTTTATAACATAAGACAAACACAGTACTTTATAAGGTGATAGCATTACTTTTCATTGTTCATGCAGAAATACTTACTGTGGCTACTGACTGTTTACATCTGATCAAAAAGCAAGACAATTAAATAAACTTAATGCCACATTCCACCATCGGGCACAAGCACCGAGCACAACAATAAGTGCAAGGGTTGCAATTCAATTTAGAACACAAACAGTTCACAAATAAGAGGGGAATGATCACTCTCACGCGACAAATTCTTTACTGGTACTGAAATTTTCCAGGAATATTGGCTAATCTTGCATACATGGTTTCAGTCAATAACAACTGGCAGACATAACTCATTTACAGCAAGAAACACTTTGACATGTAATTGCATTTCCAAAAGCTGCGTAAATTGTAAGAACAAAAAATTGTAAGAACAATTGACACAATTGTTATTAACGCTTTAAAGTTGATTTCGCATCCCTCTGGTCACACAATGAAATGGAAGTCACTACCAGCCTCACCAGTGAGCTTGATGTTGCACTCAGCAGGCTGTTACAAGCAGCGGGGCTGTTGTCCCGAGACAAACTCTCCTCAGAGGAGAGGTTGGTGGAGATGTCCAAACTGCTTAAGGTGGTGCTGAATCCCGATACTGGAGTGTCAGGACAGTCGTTCCTGGAGGTAGCCGGGGACAGCGGCCTTTTCCGCTGTGGAGTAGCGACACACTCCGATGGCTTTACAAGCTCCAGGGACTCTGGCTGAGTGACATTCTCACTCTGTGGCTCCTCAGCTTCTTCCTGAGATGTGTCCTCATCTTCACCTTTTGAAGTTTCTTCTTCATGTTCTTTGTCTTCTTTTATTGTGGTGCATATCTCCACACACTTACTGGCATCAGATATTTTAGACGATTCAAGTGTCTTCGAGTCTTGTGCATTCTCAGAATTATTTTCAGCGACATCCATGGGCTCGGAACTTATGTCCAGGTCCTCTGCCACTGTACAGTTCTGCTCATGGCCTTCAATCTCTGGCTTCACTTCAGATGAGTTGGACTTTGTACTCAGTGCAGAATCATCTAAGGGCATGGGATTTACATCTACAACAGTCACTTCCGGTTTCAAATCCATTGAGGTAGATGATTCCATTTTAGGCTCAGATGTGATCTCTGCGTTTGATATTATTAGCGCTTCAGGTTTTATAACACCGCAACCTTTGTCTTGGTCCACCGCGTTAGATGCTGCCACTGCAGCAGCCGCCTGTTCTCGAAGCCCATCATTCGACTCCTCGGTCAAGTCAATGACGTTTGTTGTGGAGATATGTCTCTCCTGGGCTGAGGTGATGAGCTTGTCCAGGGGACCCCGTAGCAATGGCAGATTGCCACCTGTCCTGTCACACCGTGCGCTGTCCTTGTGATTGACGTGCTCTGAACTGGAGCTCACTGCATTGTCCCCCTCGTAAAGGCTCACCAGCTTGGCTTTGGGCAGTGCTTCCTTGGACAGATTTGATGGAGAAAGCTTGGCACGCTTTGCATTTGGGGTACCAGGGCCATTTTGCCTTGAGAGGGGGTCCAGGCGTTTAAAAGGCAGCCGTGCTGGAAAAAATAAGCCAAAAAACAATTTCATTAGAAATAATATTTAACGCAATTTTGTCAAATCATTGCTGGACAACGGCTTCCCCTACGCCATGTGAACAGTGGGAGTTATTTGACCATATTTTACTATGGTGGTCAGTGCGGGTTGGTGTCGGGAACAACTCGAACACTTCCCAAAATAAACAAATCTCATTATTTATTACATAACACCAGTTAAACAGAGATGTTGATAATGTATAACAAAGTAAATGTATCTTACTGCGCAAATAGTATTTGCGAGAGCTAACTCCTAAGTGGTGAAAACTGCGCATCCCTAAGATGAGGAGCAGTGTTTCCATAGGAACATCACTGCAGATTCACGTCAAATGGCATCCATTTTACCAACCCCAAAGGGATGGACTGAACAAACTCTTGATTGTTATATACGTATATATATCACCACCCAGCCAGTAAACTGTAATATATACGTCCATCCAATGTGTCACCCCACTGCTGATTGAGGTTCTCCCCACACCATGAGGATCACAGGAGTTCTCACCGCGCTTCACTACAGTTGCCAGTGCGGGTTGGCAAATAGCATAGATCTACGTAATAGCATATAAGCAGAGTACTGCCTTCCGCTGTCCACACTAATCACGCAGAACCCTCTAACATCTGTTTTATGGATGGCGGTCGCCTACCCAATAATATGTAGGCTCAATTCTGCGTAGTCGAAGACATGAGGTTCAGGATGATTTGGTCATATGCAGTTGACTAAATGGTTGGCATGCATTTTCAGAAACCAACCAAATTTTTTCACCTTTTAGACTCCAGCCTGCTAAAATGCCAGCCAGCTTGTAGCTGTCATTATCAAACTATTCACCATCTTTCCCTTCCACAAGTACTCAAAAGTGAATATACTTTCAAAGCATTACAACTAATTTGTTACTTTGTGTTCCAGAGAACAATGCTCAACCTCTTTGAATGCGAATGAGGATTATATATGGCCATTTGCCACAGAATGTTAATTATCAGGAGTCTTCGAGCCTTTATATTTGAAGCAAGAATCCATTTTAAAGTTGACACCATCACAACTGTACAGTGGCAGAGGACCTGGAGTTGATTGAAAGATATACTATGCTAAGCAGTTCTTAATTTGATACAAAGATGACAGCCAATGCATATGCATACATCTCCATATATATAAAAGGCAAAGTTGTGAATGTGTGTCTGTTCAAAATGTTTAGCGTACTTCCCGACATGCAACAAACTGGAAATTTGTCATGTGGGTACTTTCCAGACTGTACACCATGCAAAAATTATAAAAATACACTTGGTTTTTTTTTTTGGGGGGGAGAGGAGCTCAAAAATGCATATATTTTTTGCACGGAAATTGAGCTGTGATGTCAAATCTGTCACGTGACCCTCGCATGTGGAAGGGTAACGCATTGTAGTGTAGCAGTTAGCGCGCTGCGCTACGAACCCGGCGACCCGAGTTCGATTCCCGCTCATGGCCACCACCGGTGACGATTATTTTAACCGGTCCTGGGCCTCCCCTAGGTCGACTCAGCCTCAAACGAGTAACTGCTGTGGTGTCAACATCGCCACTGGGGAGACAAAGGCGGCCGGGCGTGCTGCTGGCCACCCACTCCCTCGTACGTTATTAAATTACAATCCTTTGTTAATCCTCTGCAGGAAAATGACCTCCCCACGTCATATCATAATCACTACTCATTTTGACCGTTTCCGGGGAAAAAACTCGTGACAGTGTTCAACTGCACCACCGCTCCATCCACATAAAAGTAGCATCGGTTAAAAAAAGTAGCATCGGTTAAAAGTAGACGCATCGGTTACAGTGAAGGAACAGTGAATTTGAAAAGTTCATTCGAGAACGCACTCGTTATTCTTTTAAAAAAGGCATGTAACGTGACTGGTGTTTAAGAGGTGGGGGGGGGGGGTGTCACCTTGCACAAGTTTCTTAGCACCCGGTTCTTTTGTTTCACTGGCATCTGCAAAGAAAACACGAGGAAAAAGACCTGACGGTCAAACCGAAGACAGAAACACCCAGATATAAAATGTTAACAATTACGCATTCTCGCACACATTCAATGGATTGAAGAAATGTGCAGCAATTCACTGTTGCAGCCATTTTGCAGCACAGCTCACAGCAACTCAAGACGCATTGGTTACAACGTGACACCGATTGACTCCACTTAACACACAAAGCAACACACTGCAATAACTCCACTGCACAACAGTTATGCAGCGAGATAGTTGCATGGATTATCTTAACGCTTACATGGCTTCACTGCTCGAGTTGTAGAAGCCTTGACTCGCTACTCGATAGATGTCATTGCTTTGGATATGAAACAGGTGATTAAATCTATTAAACGGAAAATTAAAAGATCATGTCCGTATTAAATTAATTCAAAATGTAAAGCATCCGGAGCGGACCAAATATGCCGAGGCGAATTTGAAAGCGCTTCGAATATGGCGGTTTACTTTTCAAGGCTAAAACCCCTCAAATAATCTCTCATTCTCAGCTTTAGCGTCAACCTAAACAAGACAGAAAAGGCTGGGAACTGCCTAGAGGTTGTTTTTTTTCTGGGGCTCAATGGCAAATCGGCCATGTTGTAGATGTCGCCATCATAGCCAGCTGGGCCTCACTAACAAAGTCAAAGGAGAAAGAGCCTTTCTCCATGAAACACGGCACTCAATGCAACCCGACGTATTCTTTAATATAGATTTCATTAGCATTCTATCCTGGATAAAATGTAAACATTTTCGTAATGTTATAATTGTGGTTTTTTTTATCTTACTTTTTTTTTGTAACAGCCCAAACCATTTTGCTGCTACATTACACGGTGGTCAACTCGCGATTATCCACCACGACGGGGAGGGATGGCCCAGATGCAACAAAACACATTAGCGCAAAACAATTGTAAATAACATCGTTAAAAAATAATGTATTGTTTACGTGCGTGGAAAGGGGGCTAAGACGAAACGTGTCGTATATTTTAATAGTTTTGTAATCGATCACTTAGGAGTGAGAGGCACACGAGCATCGAATGCCCGATTTCATATTCATTTTCATGCAAGCACGATTAATCCAATCCACGTGGATAACCCAAATCTTTTTTTTAATATTCTGTACACGAAGAAAGTTGGGTCCAGTGGTAGGATAACCCGAAAGGGCCTAAGCCATAGAAACCCGAACCAGAGTTGACAGCACCCCTGGTTGACAGTGACAGGCCGCTCATTGATCGGCGATAATGGCCCCCTGATCAAGGCGATTAGGGAAATAAACATCCTTTGTAATGGTTAGGAATGAGTTTAAGCGTATTCACATTAATGTTAGGCTATAGTTAGTGTAAATAAAAAAAAGGCTTTGCGGTTAAGGTTTGTGTTAAAAGCTTGCGGGTGTTTGTCTCGGCGCTGATGTTGATGTTATGACGAGTGTAAAGCGTTAGCCTTACGGGGTAGTATGAAGACACTGTTGTTCAGTGTTAGGGATAGTAATAGTTAGTTATAAGTTAGGATGTTGGCGCTAGTATTCCCACGGATTCGTGTTAAGATTTCGTATTCCAGTTAACCGTTCGGATTATATTGAGGCCTATTGTAAGTTATTAGTCTACGGGTTTATGTAAGAGTTATGGTTACTTGTTGAGAATTAGCATTTTATATAAGTGTGAATGGTTATGGTTAGTGTTAATGACAAGGTTAGCGTTACGCCGTTTGGCGTTCGGGCTTACGTAAAGCGTAAGTCCTAATGTCAGGGTTAGTGTTAGCTCGTGATTTATTGATTAATTGTTCATACTAGAACTAGTGACGGGATTGTAGTGGTTAAGTGTTTAATGTTCCGCGTTAGTTTACGGCTAAGTTTGGACACCGTGGCGATCGTCGTCAGCCCCCAGTGTTACGTGCTCGGGGCCATCTATTACCGGCAGCTTTTGCAAAACGTCGGCGTAGATACAACACACCTTTACCCATCGTAATTACGTCTCGCGTATTCAAAGTGTTAATAATTGCCGTGTTAAATCTGGAGAGTCGAGTGCACAATGTGTGTGGGTTTTGTTTGTTTGTTTGGATGCGTCCCTCGCCTCGTTCCGCACCCGATTAAAGAACCGCGCCATCGGACGAGCTCGCCGCTCTTCCCCGGCCTCTACAACTACCCCCACAAACAACTTACTACGTCGCTAGCTCCCTCACGCGATTACACTTCGATCGTTAACATCCCCCGCAGTATAAGGCGCCTTTATTAACGCACTACACGCAACAATTAACAACTAACAGACCCGGCACGGCCGCGCGCGACGCGACGCTCATCCGGTTAACATTCGCGTTGGTGTTTAGCGTTAAGGTTGGTGCATTGAAGGACAAAAGAGAGTGGAGTGGCACACGGGATGTTGGGCAACAAGAGCTGGCAATCACCTCTAAATGGCGGTGATTTCACCACGGGCGCCTGTGCCAGGCTAGGTGCACTTTCCACGGGGTGGGGTGGGGGTCGCGCTAACATGGAAAGGGCGGTGGGGGGGTACGGTAGGAAGATAATGAGTGGTGGTTTGGGGGGGGGGTGAGGTACCCGTGTCTCGCGTCTCACCGTCGTTCTCCTTCACGACCGAGCGCAGGGGCCCCGCGGCGGCCCCCGTCGTCTCCCGCATCGCGGTTGCGGTCGTGAGAGTGAAGGCGGCTGGGACTTGGCGGGGCGCGGCACTTTTGAGGAGCAGCGCTCGCCTCGCGCTTGACGCCTTTCACAGCAGAGACGACACAGAGAGATAGAGAGAGGGGGGCAGACAGGAGATTGCTGAAGTGAGGAGAGAGGGTGAAGGAGAGACGACACTCGCCTGCCGGGTGATGATGGCGCCGGGGCCTCGCGCTCGTATTTTGGCGGGAAGCGGGTGACATGCGCGCGCAACATAAAAAAACGGGTTCTCATCGTCCCGTTTGCGGCCCGAATTCTCGCGAGACTTCCGACCCCACCCCTCCTCCCTTTCTCCTCCACTCCTCCCCCTTTCTCCTCCACTCCTCCCCCTTTCTCCTCCACCCCTCCCCCTTTCGCCCCTCCCCTTTCTCCCACACCCTCCCTCCCCCTTTCTCCCACCCCCCTCCGCCTTTCTCCCTACCCCTCCCCTTTCCCCCACTCCTCCGTCCTTTCTCCCCCACCCCTTCCCTTTCTCCCCACCCCTCCCCCTTTCTCCCTCCCCCTTTCTCCCCTCCCCCTTTCTCCCCACCCCTTCCCTTTCTCCCCACCCCTCCCCCTTTCTCCCTCCCCCTTTCTCCCCACCCCTCCCCCTTTCTCCCCCACCAACCCCCCCTTTTCTCCCCACCCCTCCCCCTTTCTCTCCCACCCCTCCCCCCTTTCCCTCCCACTCCTCCGTCCTTTCTCCCCACCCCTCCCCCTTACTCCCCCACCCCTCCCCCTTTTCTCCCCCACCCTTCTTCCCCCCCCCTTCTTCCCCCCTTTCTACCCTCCCCCTTTCTCCCCCCTCCCTCCTTTCCCTCCTCCCCCTTTCTCCCCCCACCCCCGACAACCTCCCCGCTCCCCTCTATCAAAATTTATTATTGGACTTCTTTCACACCGTACGTAGCCAAGCTTGCGTTTCGGAGGTGACAATTTTTGCCATTAGCCAAAGATGATGAATGGGCCCCATCGTGTCGAGGTGGGAAGTCCATAATACTGTTTATGGTTCCCAGAGACAGACTTTGCAGCAGTGACCTTTGGTGACTATGCCGTGCTGATGAGTCTCATAGCTGTCAACCCATGCAGTTTACCCCGTATTTATCTTGATTTGAAGCTTTCGTGACTGCAGGAACCCATACTCTTTGGTTCTTTCGGTAAAGTCACGTAGATAGAAAATTAATAGATCACGACGTTTCGATCACAACACAGGCGACCGTCTGCAGGTGAGAGAGAGAGAGCTACTGAAACAAGGTCTTATGTAGGCCTGAGATGTGTGCAGCCTCAGGGTAAGAGGGCGGGGCCAGAGATGGTCTCCCTGAGGCTGTGGAAGTGGCTATTGTATTGTGACAGATTAGCATGTCAAAGCACCACCTTAATATGCCGCAGCATCGGTGACTTGCCTAGTATGTCGCAGCATCGGTGACTGAGCGAGAAGGACATCCAGCCCGGCAATACAAAGACATCTAACCTAATAATGCAACTCAGAGAGTCAGCTAAAATCGCAGGAATGATGGAAACATCACAGCAGGTAAGACGTTACCTGGTTAATCACGTCCTTCCAATGATTGCTCAATTTGTGCCTATCTTCTCGGTTGAAGTTGTGTCTGTTTATATATCTGGATGCTTCATGAACAAATCTCTGATGATAGCAAGTGGGTTTTCAGAGCACCTTCGTCTTGGAAAAATACATTTTGCGTGTGCCCACAGCGTTAAAACAATGATCCGCAACGATAGAGGTATTGGTCCTACCGTGCTTCAGATCTGCCTTGTGTTCACGAACACGGTCCGAGACATGTCGTTTCGTTTCCCCAATGTAACTGCTCCCGCAGCCACAACTTAGTTTGTAGACACCAGGGTATTGCCTGTCAGCAATCACATCCTTTACAGATGGGATTAAATCACGGATTTTGTGTACTGTGTTGAAACGAACCTGGATCTTGTGTTTGTTTAAGATTTTGGAAATATTTTTGGTAACCCCTGCTATGTATGGCAAAGTGATGGTTTTGATTGGGTCCTCAGATGGTTGTCTCCCCATGGTTGGGGCTAAAGCTTTGCGGATTGTACGGTCAGAATATCCATTCATCCTGAGGGCTTGGTGTACGTGCTCCAGCTCACTGGCTAGGTGGTGCTGGTCGGAGATGCAATGGGCCCTATGGTGTAGTGTTTTGATGAGGGAATTCTGGGCTGGATGGTGGGTGGGAGACAGGCTTTAGATAGGCATCCGTGTGGGTGGCTTTCCTGGAGACAGAATGTCCCAACGAGCCATCAGGTCTCTTCTCGATCAAAACATCCAGAAGTGGTAACTTGCCATCTTTTTCCTCTTCCATGGTGAATTCGATGTCTGGGTGTATGGAATTGATGTGGCTGAAGAATTGGTTTATTGCTGGCTGGCCATGTGGCCAGATGACGCCCGTATCATCTACGTATCTCTTCCACAAGGAAGGACGTAGGGTGGACGGCTGGATGGCATCTGTCTCAAATTTCTCCATGAAAACATTCACTACCACTGGCGATAAGGGAGAACCCATTGGGGTACCCTCCTCTTGTTTTTAGAATGTACCATTCCAGAGGAAGTAAATGTTGGTAAGGCAGTGCCTCACCAAAGTTGGCACATCAGAATTCAGTCCCTGTTGGACCAAGTCTTCAATGATTGCTATGGTGTCAGACACAGGTACCTTGGTGAACAGAGAGACTACATCGAAACTGACAAGCAAATCATCTGGAGACAGTGAGACGTCTTTGATTAGAGAAACCAAGTGAGCTGAGTTAAGTACAGCTGAGGTGGTCTTGCCAGTGAATGGAAGCAGGGTCTCAGACAGAATACCCCGTATTCTTGTAAAGGGAAATTTAGTTTTTAGGTCCATACGGCGTACAGCCGTTTCAATATGACCAAAAACAAGTTTTTGTCTATTTGTGCTTCTCTCCCTTGTGATGGTACTTTGTAGGATGAACGTTGAGAATTATAAGGAGCACGGGGTGACCAATAAGGTCTGAATTGGGTCTGTAATAAGGTAGGCACCGGTTGACAGCTGAGTCCCAATAGAGATAAAACCGCCCCATATATTACTACATCCCTGCTGCAGCTGCTCATGATGTCAGGCAATCACAAATACTCAACAATATTTTACTGGTGACCTAAGACAAGGAGACGACAACGGACTTGTTCATGAACTGCTGATGGTTTTTTCATAATGCATAACGTCTGCGTGCGTTGTGCAACACGTTCCCACGTGCGTCGTGTTACACGTTCCTGCGTGTGTTGTTTGAAAAGCATTGTGCTTCATCCCGCACTATTATTCTGTCATGATGGGTTCGTATCTTCATTTAACAGATTTAAAAAACAAAGCAACCTGCCCAGTACCGGATTATCCTTGTAACAAAAGTAGCTACAAATGCTACGGGCCCCGCACTTTCAAGGGCCCCACGCTAAATGCTTTCAAGCTATCAATTCCGGTTCAATGATTCTGCACTTGCTCTATTACTATAGTACTATACTGCCTTCAACTTTTATGAACGACTGGGTGTTTAAGGTTAGCGAATTGTCGTAGTTTATGGCTGTATAGCAAATGAAAAAATAAAATTACTGTACTACGCAAGTAAAACATTTGTATTTTTATATTTGTTTTTTTTAGGGCCCCTTTATAACATATGCTACAGGCCCGGCACTAGCTTAATGCGGCACTGAACCTGCCTTTATAGACGTAATAAATAGTACGTGTTCGTAATTGTTCCTGTTTTCTTATCTGCACGGATGTTGTGGTGGTATAATGCTTCACATTCTGGACCCCTGAAAGCCAGAGCTTGCCGGTTCGATGTCCCGGCGCGGCAGTCGAAACAAGACAAACTTTGCCCCTTATACGGATGTTGAACCAAAAAGACTTGAGAGACACGTTTCATAATCCGATAGTTGTGTGCGCGTGGGACCAGATTTTAGTATCACGTCATTGATACTGGGTAGAGCCTTAATTAAATATGTTATCGCCCCAGGGAAATTAACATGCCCGTGGCTCGCCACAACCGTACCAAACTAAATATTTTAAAAAATACGATTAATGCCAAACTAGATCATCGATAGCCAATATACCGAGCAGTGTGACCCATCCTGATTAACCTCAACGGGCATCCGTGAACCACCAGAGAGCTTGTGGCCAACAATTACTCGGCTGGAGTAATAACCCTGGAATATGCGAACGACGTAAAGTGCTGACGTGTGCACGCGTATATGCCCATTACATTTGCTAGTGACTGAAAAGGTGTGAAGAGCTGGTTTTATCGGATTATATAAGCCAGGGGTCCCCAACCCCCGGGCCGCGGACCGATAGCGGTCCGTGGCCTGTTAGGAACCGGGCCGCACAGCAGCAGGAGGAGAGAGCGGTGAGTCCGCACGTGGCCCGCCCAATGTTTTATTATTTACCACTTCCATCCGCGCCTCTTTCCCGCACTGCGCACTTGTCTCAGTCACAGTGTTGGCAAGCCCACAAGCTAACCCCTAGTAGCCAAAATGAGTAAAAAAACAAACGTCGCTGGAGACCTTCTTTGAAAAGGGGGAAAGACCCAATGATGAACCACCCCGCCGGTCCGTGAAAAAAATTGTCTTCCACGAAACCGGTCCCTGGTGCCAAAAAGGTTGGGGACCGCTGAGATGATAAGCCCAGTAAGTCGTTTACTTTACAGATGATCGAGTTGACTACTCGTCTAATCCGATAGGGACAGAGTACAGAGGTGATGCGTTCAGATTGGTGATGTCCTCGGCATCTTCAGCCGCGTCACGATGGACGTGGCTTATTGGGGGTTTTCTCGCCTTCTTTAGAGGCAAAATTAACAACAGTCTTACAATTTTAGTTTTTATTCTCGGCCCCCTCCTCACCCTCGCCAATAGTTGCTGTAGCTGAACGGGCCCAACCCCCCTGGTGAACAAAACTAATGTATAATAATTGTGGTTTTCCCCTTTTTTCTGGCAACAAAACTGAAACCTTTTTACAATGATTCATGTCTGCATTAACCACAATACCTGCAGTCAAAATGCAAACAAAACACACTATGATAATATATGCATTGTCCTTGAAACTGATTGGTCCACACCAAGGACAATGCATATATTATCAGTGTTTTTGTTTGCATTTCGACTGCATGTATTGTGGTTAATGCAGACATGAATCCTCGTAAAAAAAAGGTTTTGTTGCTAGAAAAAAAGGGGAAACCCCCTATTATTATATTTTGGTGCTGGCAAAAGCGGGTCTAATGATGTAAAAACTAAAGTTGATGATGAATCCCGACTCTGACGGTGCCGCCTCGAGTCTTCTTTCATTGGCAAACGCCACGAGACGAAGTGAACGGTCACGCCGAGTCCAGCAGGCGGCGCGCCAGGCGTTGCATTGAGAATCGGGAACTGAAAAGTGCGAAAATAAGTACGGGAGAGATCCGTGCGTGGAATATACACCGAGAGGGCGGGCACACGTTGATCTGCCACGTTTTCCACTACAGACCAAACCCGGATATGTTTCTGATTGAGCACTAGGTCTATCAAGACTGTAATCAAGTTCAACGCAATACCGTAACCAGATGTCGGGGCAAATTTATTCATAATCCCTCGTTATACCTGGCAACCCCAGGCATATAGAGGAACGCGTGAATTAACCACTTGATATCATGCGAACTGTTACTTAGAAACGTTATGGCCAGGAATTGTCGCTGAAAGGGATGGGTGGCCCGGTGGTCGAGACTAACGACAGAGTTTGTCCAAGAGGACGTGCCCGCGGAGATGGAGTGATTGAATCACTTTGCGTGCCTGTGCTCTGTGGAATGTTTACATCGCAGGATCGCGATATGGAGGCGGATCGGGTGGTGTAGGAAGGGCGCGCTCACCAATACCACTCTGAACGTCGACATCAGCGGTGTTTGTTAAGCACGCCTGACTGCTGACGAGTCCCAGAAGGGTAAAACCAGGTTGTGGGTGCTTAAACAATCACCGCTGGTTAACATAACGCTTTAAATCGAAATTTAAATCGAAATATAACTATGGAAGGTCAAAATGCAGATTTTTGGCTCCAACAAATTTGAATTTGTTTTTGTGGAAATATGAAACAGAGATTGTTGATGCGTTACCAAGAATAATACGAATAATTGTGGAGTGGCCGGCAAGGAATGAAATACGTCTGAGAGTGGTCGTGTGAAGTTGCTAGATGTATGTTGAACTTCTTTCGCACCGTACGTAGCCAACCGTGCCAATCGGAGATGGGGGGGGGGACAACAAAAAGCCCCCTTGTGTTTACATTGCCGGAACCGTGAGCAACATTGCGACAACAATCCCGGCGGGAGGCCTTCAACCACCAGCAGTGGATTGATCATAGCTGATGATGATGATGAAGTATCGATGCATTCATAAGAGGTTTTTTTATTGGGGGGGGGGGGGGTTAGATCGCGTAAATATGTGTCGTTAAACCCGCCACCACCCGACACAGCCAACTAGTAGGGTTTGTCACGGGAACAGAGCACGCGATCTAACCCCAAAAACCTCTATTATGGACGATATTGGTCGCGAATCCCTGCGCGTTAAACTAACGACGCGCTGCTGCTGCACGTGTTGGTTTGGCGGGGTGACGTCACGCGGGGTGACGTCACGCGAGGGCTTCCCCGGCGCGGTGACGTCACGGCCGGGATCCGCGCCGCAGCGAGGAGCGCAGTCCTCCTCCTCCTCCTCACCACCACCATCCTCCTCCTCCTCGCCAATTAGAGCAGCGGGACACTGCTCCCACGACGTGGTTGGCGGTGGTGGTGGTGGCGGTGGTGGTGAGCCCCGGGGCCCATCCGTCCCGCGTGCTCCTTTCGCCTCCTCCTCCGCCTCCGCCGCCGTCAACCGCCGCCGCTGCCGCCGCCGCCGTTGCGGGCGAGGCTGGCGCCATGTCCGTGGCAGGGCTCAAGAAGCAGTTCCACAAGGCGAGCCAGGTGAGCACGCTGGGGGGCCCGGGGGGGAGCGGTGTTGGGGGGCCCGGGGGGGGGGCACTGAGGGCACACCACCGAGATATGGCGGGAGGGGAGATTGTGTGGAGGAGATGGATAATTATTGTTAATACACGCGGCGTATCGATAACACCGGAGTACTGAACTGAGAGATATGGAGACGCGGGGAGACAGACGCGGGGGTGTGTAGGAGACACGGGGAGACAGACGTTGGGGTGTGCAGGAGACACGGGGAGACAGACACGGGGGTGTGCAGGAGACACGGTGTGTGTGGTGCTGGTGGTGTGTGTGGTGCTGGTGGTGTGTGTGGTGCTGGTGGTGTGTGTGGTGCTGGTGGTGTGTGTGGTGCTGGTGGTGTGTGTGGTGCTGGTGGTGTGTGTGGTGCTGGTGGTGTGTGTGGTGCTGGTGGTGTGTGTGGTGCTGGTGGTGTGTGTGGTGCTGGTGGTGTGTGTGGTGCTGGTGGTGTGTGTGGTGCTGGTGGTGTGTGTGGTGCTGGTGGTGTGTGCAGGAGACACGGGGAGACAGACGCGGGGAGACAGACGTGGGGGTGTGCAGGAGACACGGTGTGTGTGGTGCTGGTGGTGTGTGTGTGGTGGTGGTTGTGTGTGCAGGAGACACGGGGACACAGACGTGGGGTGTGCAGGAGACACGGGGACGGACTGGGAGAGAGAGACGGGGCGGGGGTGGGATTCAGAGACACGGAGACTCGAAATAGGTTCACGTGGGGAGACGCGGGGACACGGGGGGTGTGGAGACAGAGACAGCGACACGGATCAAAGCCACGGGAGGGGGAGGACAGAGACGTGAGAACACAGGGGACATGGACACGGGGACACAGACACACGGCGTCAGGCTATCGGTAACGCAGAGGAACAGAGACACGGAGGCTCAGAGTCATGGGGACAGAGACGTTGACGCACGAAGACACTGGGGTATGGCGAGACAGAGACGCAGGGGACACGGGGACAGACACCGCGGCGACGTGGGGGACACGGAGGGGCGGCAGAGACTCGAGGAGACTGAGGGACGCCACAAGGCGACGCCGAGTTGAGACGCGACGAGGAGGCGGTGGGATTCGGGGTGACAGCAAACGCCGAATCACACAGCCTCATCATCATCATGGTGGTGATGGTGAGCGCGCGCCACCATCATCATCGCCATCATCACCATCATCGTCATCATCGTCGTCGTAGCGAAACACAGAGACATGGGGCCGTGACGACCCTGGGACGTAGGGGAGAGAGAGACGTGGGGACCCTGGGACTTGGTGTGGGGTGTGTGGAGGTGGTGCTGGTGGTGGTGTGTGTGGTGGTGGTGCTGGTGGTGTGTGTGTGGTGGTGGTGCTGGTGGTGTGTGTGGTGGTGCTGGTGGTGTGTGTGTGGTGCTGGTAGTGTGTGGAGGTGGTGTGTATGGTGGTGGTGCTGGTGGTGAGCGATAGTGTAGCGGTTAGCGCGCTGCGCTATGAACCTGGCGACCCGGGTTCGATTCCCGCTCACGGCCAACACCAGTGACGATTATCTGAACCGGTCCCGGGCCTCCCCTAGGTCGACTCAGCCTCAAATGAGTACCTGGTGCGGTGTGTAAACATTGCCACTAGGGAGACAAAGGCGGTCGGGCGTGGTGCTGGCCACCCACCCCCTCGTGTACCGTTCCGGCCTTCATAGGTGCTCGCTAACAGCACTTGCCCCTACAGTCTGTTAAGGCTATATGGGGGATCTTTGATCTTTGTGTGTGGTGCTAGTGGTGTGTGTGGTGCTAGTGGTGTGTGTGGTGCTAGTGGTGTGTGTGGTGCTAGTGGTGTGTGTGGTGCTAGTGGTGTGTGTGGTGCTGGTGGTGTGTGTGGTGGTGGTGGTGTGTGTGGTGCTGGTGGTGTGTGTGGTGCTGGTGGTGTGTGTGGTGCTGGTGGTGTGTGTGGTGCTGGTGGTGTGTGTGGTGCTGGTGGTGTGTGTGGTGCTGGTGGTGTGTGGAGGTGGTGTGTGTGGTGGTGGTGCTGGTGGTGTGTGTGGTGCTGGTGGTGTGTGTGGTGGTGGTGGTGGTGTGTGTGTGGTGGTGGTGTGTGTGGTGGTGGTGGTGTGTGTGGTGCTGGTGGTGTGTGTGGTGCTGGTGGTGTGTGTGGTGCTGGTGGTGTGTGTGGTGCTGGTGGTGTGTGGAGGTGGTGTGTGTGGTGGTGGTGCTGGTGGTGTGTGTGGTGCTGGTGGTGTGTGTGGTGGTGGTGGTGGTGTGTGTGTGTGGTGGTGGTGTGTGTGGTGGTGGTGGTGTGTGTGCCGATGACTGGTACCAGCGGTGTCAAGATCGGCCTCTGTGGAGGAGGCTCGTGAAGGACGCTACTGGGCAGTTGGAGGTAGTCGCCCTCCAACAACAACGGAGGGCGGAGGAGCGACGCTCACAACAACGAGCGGAGCGCCGGGTGGCTAAAGCACAGCAGGTTGGCACAGTAGGGGGCACAGGTGGTGCATCAGCCACTCATCTCAGTCAGTCGACCCGTGGCACCTGGGTCTGCCCCGTGACCTCCTGCCAGCGGGCGTTCGACACTTCACGTGGCCTCAGGGTGCACATAGCCTGGCACAAGCGTCGTGGTGACGTCACCGCCACTTAGTGGCGAATGGCGGTTGTTGTTGTGTGTGGAGGTGGTGGTGTGTGGTGGTGGTGGTGTGTGTGGAGTTGGTATGTGTGGTGGTGGTATGTGTGGTGGTGGTGTGTGTGGTGGTGGTGTGTGTGGTGCTGGTGGTGTGTGTGGTGGTGTGTGTGGTGTGTGTGGTGCTGGTGGTGTGTGTGGTGCTGGTGGTGTGTGTGGTGCTGGTGGTATGTGTGTGTGGTGTGTGCGGTGGTGGTGTGTGGTGCTGGTGGTATGTGTGTGTGTGTGGTGCTGGTGGTATGTGTGTGTGTGTGGTGCTGGTGGTGTGTGTGGTGGTGGTGTGTGTGGTGGTGTGTGTGGTGGTGGTGTGTGTGGTGGTGTGTGTGGTGGTGGTGGTGTGTGTGGTGCTGGTGGTGTGTGTGGTGCTGGTGGTGTGTGTGGTGCTGGTGGTGGTGTGTGTGGTGCTGGTGGTGGTGTGTGTGGTGCTGGTGGTGGTGTGTGTGGTGCTGGTGGTGTGTGGTGGTGTGTGTAGTGGTGGTGGTGTGTGGGGAGCGGTAGTGTAGCGATTAGCGCGCTGCGCTATGAACCCGGCGGCCCGAGTTCGATTTCCACTCATGGCCAACTCCAGTAACGATTATCTGAACCTGTCTTGGGCCTCCACTAGGTATACTCAGCCTCAAATGAGTACCTGGTGCGACTACGCACCAGGTACGCACATGGTCTGTATTCCAGCACTGTGGAGGCAGCAGCGAGGGAGGGTTGGTGGATCAACTCCCTCCCCGTGGACGTCAGTACAGCAAGTGTGGACCAATCTCCATCAGTCCCATCCGTGTTGCACCCTCCTCGCACGCTGCGTTGTTGTAATGGAGTTAAAACAATTTTAAAACCCGCTGAAATATAAGAGCCTTAAAATATGATTGTATATTGTCCCAAGTCTCGTGGTGCACGGGGTGGTGCAGGAGTTGATTGAAGGAGTTTAACGAGAGGGTATTTTTCAGTCTATCGCGTGTGGATGAAACTTAGATTAGCGACAGATTTCTCAATTTTAATGAAGCCCGTGAAACTTCTGGTTGTGATGGGCCACTCATCACCGACATCATCATCCTCATCATCTTCGTCGTCGCTTTGGTTTGAAGGCAGCCATGATCGATCCACTGCTGGATGAAGGCTTCAAGCCGTCGCTATCTCTCACGGTCTTGCAGTGAGTGTGGCAGCAATCCCAACTAGCACCAGCTGATTTCATCACTCCGTCTCCACACTCGACGTCCTCTCGTCTCGTCGGTTCCCGTCATAGGAATGTGGAATTTACACGCTCGTGTCGGGGCCTGCTGCTTCGACAGGGATGGAAACTGCTTGGAATGGATATTTTTTGGGAATATCGGTTGTAATGAATACTAATGAGACTACCAGACCGACGTAAATATATTTTACACTTTGACTGGATGTTAGATGCGTAATGATTTGCTTCCATCTTCATTCAATTAATGGCGAGTGAAAAAAGATCGCCTATATAATCGAGACTCAATTCTGGTGAATGCAGAAACCTCTTGGCTTACCAGGGCTTAAATGACACAATTAGAGACAAAGATATCCCCCTGCGAAGCCTTAACAGACTGTGTTGGTGTAAGTGCTGTTGACGAGAACCTATGAAGGCCCGGCATGGCACAGGAGGGTTGGGTGGCCAGCACCACCGGCCGCCTTTGTCTCCCTAGTGGCGATGTTTTCACGCCACACCAGGTTCTCATTTAAGGCTTCGTGGACTAACGGGAGGCCCAGAACCGGTTCAGATAATCGGCTGTGAGCGGGAATCGAACTCACGTCGCCTGGTTCGTAGCGCGGCACGCTAAACCGTTGCGCTGCCGCTCCCCACGCGTGACACAAGTGACAACGTCTCTCACAGTCATCGGCCACTTGTGGCTCACCTTGGGATCAAGGCATCGTCCACACTCTGGCCATCGCCTCCCGTGGTCCTGCGATGCAACGATCCCCCTCGCGCCTGCACGTGAGCCGATCCCATCGCTTCATCTACCGCGGTGTTCGCCCTCTCCCTGTCCTGTTGTGCCCTCCGTTGGCTGCTATTCCATCGCCAGTCTCGTCCTATCGACCGTCGTCGTCGTCCTCCCACGGCCTCGACGTGTCCGGCCTTGACACCACTTTACTCTCCTCGCCAATCAATTCGATCCACGTGTTCCTCTTTCTGCCTCTCGATGTGATGATGATTCCCAGTGCCTCTTCATGCATCTTCGCCATGCGCATTAAGAGTTTCCAAATTTGTTCGTCAGTGTCCGTTTCTTGTCTTCAGATCCATATGTCACAGCGGGTTTAATATACAACTCAGCGATACAGTGCACAGCCCTTTTGTCGATCCACTGCTGGATGAATGCCTCTCCACGTTTTATTGGCCATAGGA